CGGGTTGCGAATGAGGACGATTTGACCCAGTCGGGCTAATCGCTGAACGGCGCGCCATTTCGGCCTTTGCTGAAGGGTGTGCAAGTAATCGTGCGACCAAGACTTCCAAAAACCTTCGGTAATTCGCTGAGCCAACTGCCACCGAGACAGTCGGTTTTCGTTAATGTCGAGCACGCTAGGCTCGGGCGAAGCCACAAGGGAAGCGCCTACTAAAAAATGACCGGGGGTCAACGCTTGATAGTCGTCGAGATGTTCGGAGATAGCGGCGAGAGGTCGCGAATTTAGGCATGCCTCGATGCGGCGGAGGATCGTTGTCATTTCTTCATATGTAAGTGTATGAGACCCGATGCATCGCTTGAGGTGGTGTTTGACACTTTTGACACCAGCCTCCCAGAGACCGCCGAAATGTGGCGCGGCCGGAGGCAGGAAATGCCAGGTCGTTTTTTCGCTAGCGGAGCGATTGAGGAAGTTCGGTTCGCGAACGGCTTTATAGTAGGCGTCGGACAACTGCCGATCGGCGCCGTGAAACGTCGTTCCGTTGTCGGAATACATGTGCTGAGGCAAGCCTCGACGCGATACAAATCGATGGTACGCTGCGGTAAACGTCGCTGCGGTGTAGTCGCTGACAAGTTCGAGATGTATGGCCTTGGTCGTCAAACATATAAACAATGCGATGTACGCCTTATGAGATTTCTGACCGCGACCGGGGGCTGTCCGTATGGCGATGGGCCTTGCGTAATCGACACCCGTATGCAGAAAAGCGCGGGAGACACTTTGGCCGCTTCGCGGGCGCATCGGACACACTTGTGTAGAACGAATCGAACCGTAGCGCGAGCACGCAGAATCCAAAATTCCGTGCGTAAGGACGTGAGAGTGAGTTGGGAACCCCTGTGCATTGTGCGGAGGTGGTGGTGCTCGATGATGAGAGTTAAAAGCGGATGTGATCGAAGGACGATGGGATGCTTCATCGTTTCTGGGAGGTTAGGGTGCCGTCCCATGGCGCGTATTGCGATACGCGCGTATCGGGCGTATCGAAGTCTGCGGCCAATCACAGACGATCCGCCGATTTTGGTACGCCGAAATTTGCTCCTAAACGTCCCATGGAGCGGATTTCATCAGATTAAGCGTAAGCGGACCAGCGGATCGCCAATCACAGAATCTTTCCGATAGAGCCCTTTCAAAGATTCCGTTGAAACGGATCCGTGATTGACGATCCGCTGGTTACGCTTCCGCTTTATCCGCTCCATGGGACGGTAGGACCGTTTGGCGACGCGTACTGAACACACGCACACAAACACGCTTGTGACGCATGCACCTAAAAGGGCAAACGTCATAACCTCCAAAGTGAAGCCAGTTGTACGGCAAAAAATCTATGTTGAGATCGAGATCGCCAAGGTATTCGCCACCGCTTAATCTAGATCCAAATCACCTAGATTACCCCGAGAACAGTGTCACCACGTCGATTTACATTTCAGATCCAGATCGCCCTCGTTTTCTCCTCGAAGAGGATCATTTCGCTTGCATTCGCCGAAGAATTTTTGTGACTTTTGCGTGACATCGGTGTACGGCAGTGTCGAGATCAAGATCGCCAAGGTCATCGCCAAGGTATTCGCCACCGCTTAATCTAGATCCAAATCACCTACGTTACTCCGAGAACAGTGTCATCATGTCGATTTACGTTTCAGATCCAGATCGCCCTCGTTTTCTCCTCGAAGAGGATCACCTCGCTTGCGTTCGTCGAAGAATTTTTGTGACTTTTGCGTGACATCGGTGTACGGCAGTGTCGAGATCAAGATCGCCAAGGTTATCGCCAAGGTATTCGCCGCCGCTTAATCTAGATCCAAATCACCTACGTTACTCCGAGAACAGTGTCACCATGTCGATTTACGTTTCAGATCCAGATCGCCCTTCTTGTCTCCTCGAAGAGGATCACCTCGCTTGCGTTCGCCGAAGAATTGTTGTGACTTTTGTGTGACATCGGTGTACGGCAGTGTCGAGATCAAGATCGCCAAGGTCATCGCTAAGGTATTCGCCACCGCTTAATCTAGATCCAAATCACCTACGTTACTCCGAGAACAGTGTCACCATGTCGATTTACGTTTCAGATCCAGATCGCCCTCGTTTTCTCCTCGAAGAGGATCACCTCGCTTGCGTTCGTCGAAGAATTTTTGTGACTTTTGCGTGACATCGGTGTACGGCAGTGTCGAGATCAAGATCCCTACTCCGAGTCAAATACGCCGGTGATCTTTGAGCTTTGCCCTCTTCCCCCCATTCGAGGAGTATAATCATTTATACTCTCGTGTCTAAAACTTGTTTTCGTAATTAATTATTAATTAAATTTATAATAATATATTATCTTAGTATTATGTTAGCCTTTTTTTCAACAACGTTATTTCAAAATATATTTTTATCTTCTACTGTAATTCATTTTCTACTTTGTTCTAGATTTTTATATTAGCATCACATTACTTTTAATGTCATTATTTTCTCTTATTTTCTATGCCTGCGCACAAATTGAGTTGTATTAAATATATTTATTCAAAATTGTGTTATAATTAATGCTTATATACCTGATATGGCGTTTAATTAACAAAGAAGCCAGTATAGTCTAGAATAACAAATATGTAGATAGTAACAAATAAGATAGCAGTAATAAATTTGCGAAGAGTGAATCAGTGACAATAACTCAGTTAATCAGATTTATTTTTATTACAAGTAATCATTACAATATATATCACTGATTGAGAATACGTTTTACAGCGAATAGTATCACAACACAAAATATACAGAGAAAGTGCGGACGAGCGTTCATTTACAGCGCCGAGAAAGAAATCAATCTCACTCACACCTTTATGAACCAAATTACTTTCATTAATCGATATTATGCTAGCGACGGCGACATAAAACATCATGGACATTCCTGTAATGGCCATAATAGCAGAGCGCAAATCATCTGATACATTGGACGTGACAGCGGAGCTAATAAGTTGTGTATCTTCTGGAAAAAAAGGATAATGAAATCAAAATGATAGATTTCGATGCCTTAATGATGCGTTATATCTGATTAAAAGCGTGAAACGTACCGCTCAATCTCCCGACTAGTTCTCCCGTACTTTCTCTGTCAAACATTGCCGTTTCCTGTTGAAGGATAGCGGCGTACGCCTGTTTCCTAAGGGACTGCGTGATTTTGTCCGCCGTCGACATTAGACAAACTCTGCCAAAGTTGCTCACACCGCCTATGAGAAATATCACAAAGAGAGCAAGCGGGGGCGGCCAGCAAAAGTAAAGTCTTCAATTCCGAGCGTCTCTTCGCCTTAACCGCATGTACTACGGGCATAGATGCGTCGGACCGGATAGCGTTGGTCGTATAGTGTCTCAGTCCGATGAACACGCGGCCCTTCCTCGAGAATCTGACAATCCTGCTTGTGTCGGCCTTCGATTCGGGTTAACCTAAACACAAAACAGTGTCACTCAGGATTTCATTGGAACATCGTGACTACGCATATGTACGATCGAATACGTACGATCAGCTTTGCGGAAAACTGTCCAAATTCTCCTGAGTATTCTGTTGTGTATTAGATCGCAATAATTCCTAATTGCACGCACCTCGTATGTAAATACTCCGTTTCTTCTCCTTTCTCTACTGCTCTAGTGCCACTAGTGCACTTTCTACACTCAATATGGCACCTGAACCCAAGAAGGAGGGCTCGACCCACACGTACGTTACGATGGAACTGTGTGAGTGTGCGATCCGCTCAAACAATGTTCAAAAGATTGTTAAGCGTATCAAAAACGGCGGATCGTCTGTGATTGGTCGCAGAGTCGATACGCCCGATACGCGCGTATCTCGATACGCGCCATGGGACGTCAGCCTCAGACTTTTGGAGCCGGCCGCCGACGCGGAGCAGGCCGTCAGAGTCAATGTGCGGATGCAAGGATCTAAGCGGGCTGGCTTTCGGCAGCGCAGTTTTTGTTTCTGAGGCTCGCAATTTCGTCGCGAAACGATGCATTGATCGCAGCCAATAACGCTTTGCGTCCTGAATGTCGTCGGTGCGAAGGAGTGGGGGGCGAAGGTCGCGTGCTGCCTCGGCCTCGCGAGACTGGTTGCGGATGCGTGCCCGCCTAAGCGAAGCATATACGCGGTAACTCGTAAAAGTTTCGGCCAAGATGAGAACCGAGAAGCGAGATCCCACGGTTCCGAGGGGCTTAGAACGCACACGACTGGTTGAGGTCGTGCTTCTGGAATGCCGTCCGTAGCATCATGAGCGGCTGGGTGATCGCGAACGGGCCAGAACTCGGGTGACTCTTTCAGCCACGACGGGCCGGTCCACCATAACGGATGTAGCTGAATCTCGTCGGGAGCGAGACCGCGCGACGCGCAGTCCGCAGGATTGTCGTGAGTGTGCACATGACGTCAAACCACCTCGGGGAGTGCCGTCTGAATTGCCGCGACCCGGTTGGCGACAAAAGTTTTCCAATGGGATGGAGATTTGCTAAGCCATGCCCGTACGATGTCCGCGTCTATCCAACAGTGGCAGTCGCCCAGCGGAATTTGAAGGGTGGTGCGGACGAAATGCATGAGACCCGCGAGGAGATGCGCGGCAAGTAATTCTAAGCAAGGCACAGTGATAATTTTTAGGGGAGCTACTTTTGATTTAGCTATGAGAAGCGAGACGGTGACCGAGCCGTCGACGTGCACCGTTCGAAGATAAACGGCGGCAGCGTAGGCTTTTGTGGATGCATCGGAGAACCCGTGTAGGGCGAGATGCAAGGTGTCGGCGCCTTGCTTTGTCCAGCGGGGTATTTGGACTTGATTCACGCACGGAAGCTTTGAATGATATGATACCCATGGACGGAGATGAGTGTCCGGAATCTCATCGTCCCAATTTATTTTTAAAAGCCAGAGCTGCTGCATGAAAATTTTTGCGGTGACGACGACCGGGGCCACCCAGCCGAGCGGATCGAACAGTTTGGCAATAGTTGAGAGAATGGCGCGTTTTGTTGTGCCGGGATTTTGGGTAGTGACTTGAAATTGGAACACGTCCTGAGGCGGATTCCAGGCAATCCCGAAAATTTTGAGATGTTCATCGTTCTGGAGAACTTTGGGGCTCGCGAGGCCATGATCGGAGGGATCGAGGTCGGCGATGAGCTCCGGACAATTACTTGCCTATTTTTGGAGACGAAAACAACCTTTGGCCAATAGTGCATTTACTTGATCCCGGGTTTGACGCGCGAGAACTTTGTCGTCGGCGCCGAAAACACAGTCATCGACGTATGTTTCTTCGAGTAGGACGGGAACCGCGAGAGGGAATTGCGATCCCTCGTCGGCGGCGAGCTGCTCTACGGAACGAATGGCTGCAAAGGGAGCATAGGCACCGCCATACGTGACGGTTAGCATCCGATATTCTTCGACGGGATCCGAAGGAGAGCGGCGCCATAAAATGCGCTGATAATCTGTGTCGCGAGGGTCAACACGGATTTGCCGATACATTTTCGCTATGTCAGCGGTAAAAACATATCGGTACTGCCTCCATCGGAGGATCACGACGACGAGATCACGCTGGAGTTTTGGCCCGATCAGGAGGTGATCGTTTAAAGAGGTGCCATTTGTGGTTCGCGCGGAGGCGTTGAATACAACGCGGAGACGCGTTGTTTTGCTGGTGGCTCGTACTACGGCGTGATGCGGAATGTAGTATCGTTTAGTGACGTCGACGACGAGATCTTCCGGGGGGATCTTGGCCATGTGGCCGAGCCTTTCGTACTCGTCCAGGAATTCGCAATATTCGGAAGCGGTGGTCGGCTCACGTTCAAGACGGTGTTCTACGCGCCTGAGACTCGAAAGGGCGGCGAAGCGGGATTCGCCTAACTGAGGGAGGCCGCGTTCGAATGGTAGCCTGACAACGTACCGTCCTTCAGGCGTGCGAGTGTGCGTGGTTGCGAAATGTTCCTCACATTGGAGTTCCTCGGGACTCATGTGAGCTTTCCGGGGAATGTCTTCGACCTCCCAAAAGCGACGAAGGTCGGATTCGAAGTCATCGAAAACGGTTCCGTGATGGATTTGCACGGATTCACGGGGAGAGGGAGGAAGGGAAGCCACGGGACCGGAGAGTATCCACCCGAGCGTGGTATTCTGAGCTCATTTTCGGCACCTTTCCGAACTCCCTCCAAGAGTAAGAAACCGAATAGATCGGCACCGATAATTAAATCGACCGGGTCGAGATTCATGGGTTCGCTATCGGCGAGCTTGAGTCCTGTGATGTGCTCCCATGAACACATGGAGTTGACACGGCTCGGCTTATACCGAGTGAGCGATTTCATGATGAGCGCGGTTGTCGAATAGGCGGGCCCATCGCACGACGTGGGAGTTAATGTGATTGTAACAGCGTGGCGTATGATGGATTTGGTATCGCCAATGCCCGTGACGCATACGGAGCGTGAGATCTTCGGTAATCTCAGGCATTGGGCTATCGACTCCGTAATCAAGGTAGCAGCAGACCCTTGGTCGAGAAGGGCTCGAATAGTGATCGCACGACCGTTCGATGAATGCACGCGAACGCGCGCGGTGGCGAGTAGAATTTGCGAATTCGGCGACACGGTTTGCGAGACTGTATGTGACGCGACTTCACTTTCGATTTTTTTGATTGCCGCTACCGTGACTGCGGATTCTGCTGGTTCGGTTTCATTGTTTTTGACGGACGCATCGAGATGCAACAGAGTGTGGTGTCGCTTACTGCATTGCTTGCAGCTGCGGGAGCTTGTACAATCTTTGACCGGATGCTTTGCGCTGAGGCAATTGAAGCAACGCTTTACTTTTCGGATGAAATCGGCACGTTGAGCCGGTGTTTGATTCAGAAAGGTGGAACATTGGTACAACAGGTGACTTGTTTTGCACAGAGGACAAGATAATGTCGCGGTCGACGCCGCGTGTGATGCGAGAACTTTATTTTTCGGTTTAGAAGACTCCGCGACCTTGGGAGTCACGGGCACGATAGCCTCTAGCGCGCGAACTCGCGATTCGAGAAATTGATCGAGTTCCGCGTATTTAGGGTACTCTCCCGTATCCCCGAGCTTGAGTTCCCATGCCTTTCTCGAGAATTTATCAAGTTTTTGCGCAACGAGAAATACTAATACGTCATCCCAATGTTCCACTGGACGCCCTAAATTTTGTAAAGCTTGTATCGCAGCGTTCGTTTGATCGCGGAGGTTCCGAAGGTCTTTGGAAGTTTCGGAGACCAGCGCCGGCAGCTGGAGCAGCGTTTGTAAATGCCCGGTAATTAGACGACGCTTATTGTCGTATCGCGATTGCAGGATGTCCCACGCGACCACAAAATTTGCTTCGGTAATCGCGAGATGAGTCAACACGTTACTTGCGTCCCCTTTTACACACGAGCAAAGATAGTGCATGCGGTCGACATTAGAAATGGTGGCATCGTTACGAACCAGGGAGGTGAAGCGATCTCGAAAACTTTCCCATTTGTCAAAGCTGCCGTCGAACGTCGGTAAGTTGATCCGTGGCAAGTGAGAGGACGGACGGAATGAGTCAGCCAGACCGCTTACGTTGATCGTTGAGTGGTGGAGTGGCTGGGGTTCAAAGGTGGCCAGCACCTCTGCCATGAAGTCCGCAGCCTCGTTGTAGACATCCTCGCAGTCGACGAACAGATGGTTTTGAAAGTACGAGTGAGAGGCTTTCAATTTATCGTCGGCATAGAGAACGAGTTTTCCATCGAGCTTCTGACATTTAGCGAATGTGTTTTTGAGACCGGCGAGTCGCTGTCGAGTTACGGCTTGCGTCATCTTCGCTTGCCCGAGTTTCTTATAGTTGGCCAGCGCTCTCGATATTTGCCCCATGAGCTGAGTTTGCAAAGTGAGAAGTTCATCGCACGATGACATGGTGATTGGAATACACAACAGTTTACAGAGCGGGAAAGTCGCTAAGTTTTGTTCTCCTTGACGTCGATCCGGCTCGAAGGACCAAAATGTTTGTTGTGGTGACACCACGGACGCTGTGTTTCAACCTTGGCGGAAGGTTCGATCGTCAAGGCAAAGGTCACTTTTGAAATTAACGACTTCGTTAGTTAGCTCAACAGATAATTTATTCTAATTAGGCGGAGGCGAGCGATACTGGACGCTGATGTGAGGCGTGCGAGTCGTCGTCGGCTGGTAGAGGCGCGCACTGCACCGTTAAAGACGGATTCGTTCGACACTGAAACGAGCACGGGCGTTCGTGACTCAACGCTAACGGGCGCTTCGTGGTTTCTGGAGCTCTGCTGAACGGGCTCGCGCGTTGAAAATAGGCACGTCCGTTTAATTTGCGCAACGCGGTTGCAACTCCGGATGCAGACAGTTTTTTCACACAGGGTGTGGGCGGTAGGCTGTCTCAACGATTACGATTATCAACTCGTTCGGATTGCGTACGAATAGAAAGTAGTTGACCGGCACGAATTCGAAGCGTTTCGTGTGGTAGCTAATTGCCGATTCGCTTTCGAGAGCGACGCACATGTCGATCGTCGGTGATCGCGCAAACTTGACTGTTTTGGTGGGAGGGGAATTCGCACGTGTAACGACGGGCCATGCGGTTCAATAACGAGAGGGCTTATCGCGATGCGACGTTGCTCGCTGATTCCGGAACATACCGCCCGCCTCGAATAAATACATTCGAAATTATTATTTTACAACATATGTCACAACGGGGGAAAATAACAAAAATGTGTTAATTAATGAGTGGCGCCGCCCGCCATGGCGGAATCTATGGGCTGTTCGTTGTTGATGTCCACCGGGAGAAAGCACAGTTTAGTTATGGGGCGCTTGTACTCCGACCGACTCGTCCTCACGGTGACGACTCGGGTCAAACCGTCTTTGCCTGGATGACACACGGTTATGCGCCCGAGTTCCCATTGGCTCGGTGGCGCGAGCGGGTTGCGAATGAGGACGATTTGACCCAGTCGGGCTAATCGCTGAACGGCGCGCCATTTCGGCCTTTGCTGAAGGGTGTGCAAGTAATCGTGCGACCAAGACTTCCAAAAACCTTCGGTAATTCGCTGAGCCAACTGCCACCGAGACAGTCGGTTTTCGTTAATGTCGAGCACGCTAGGCTCGGGCGAAGCCACAAGGGAAGCGCCTACTAAAAAATGACCGGGGGTCAACGCTTGATAGTCGTCGAGATGTTCGGAGATAGCGGCGAGAGGTCGCGAATTTAGGCATGCCTCGATGCGGCGGAGGATCGTTGTCATTTCTTCATATGTAAGTGTATGAGACCCGATGCATCGCTTGAGGTGGTGTTTGACACTTTTGACACCAGCCTCCCAGAGACCGCCGAAATGTGGCGCGGCCGGAGGCAGGAAATGCCAGGTCGTTTTTTCGCTAGCGGAGCGATTGAGGAAGTTCGGTTCGCGAACGGCTTTATAGTAGGCGTCGGACAACTGCCGATCGGCGCCGTGAAACGTCGTTCCGTTGTCGGAATACATGTGCTGAGGCAAGCCTCGACGCGATACAAATCGATGGTACGCTGCGGTAAACGTCGCTGCGGTGTAGTCGCTGACAAGTTCGAGATGTATGGCCTTGGTCGTCAAACATATAAACAATGCGATGTACGCCTTATGAGATTTCTGACCGCGACCGGGGGCTGTCCGTATGGCGATGGGCC